GTTACCCGGGAAATAAGTTATCTCAAACGGCATAAGGCATCCCGCCCCGACGGATTGTCCCCATCCATTTTTAAAGATGGAGATCTAGCCCTGGTTTGTGAGTTAACAAAACTCCTGGGCTCAGTGTGGCAGAAAGAAGAGGTTCCAACTGATTTGTGTGAATCGGTGATCATACCGATACCGAAAGATGACAGATCCTTTTGTGAAAATCCATAGAGGAATTAGTTTAATCAACATCATCTCTAAACTTCTCGCTGGTATCATACTCCGTCGATTGATTGCAGCACGTGAACGGTGTACGCGTGAGAATCAGGCTGGTTTTGGACCTGGTCGAGGTTGTATCGACCACATGTAGTCTTTTTAAAATTCTAGAACATAGGCAATCCCTTCGTAGACCCACCATGTCTATTTTCCTCGATCGAAAACCGGCTTTCGACTCAGTCGACCGTTCTGAACTTTGAAGTTGCCTCGCTCTAAAGAGTATGCCCGAGAAGTTGAGTTCAATATTACAATCGCTGTATATTAGCAGTCGGAGCCGAGTACGAGCTTACGGCAATTTTTCACCCGACTTCACCACGGAATGTGGTGTTCGACGGGGTTGCCCTCTCTCTCCGTTTCTATTTAACTCAGATAGAATTATTTCTTCAAATAGCCCTATCCTTGTGCGAGGATAGTGGCATTGATTAATCCCCGAGTGACAGACTGTCTGGTCTAGAGTATGCAGACGACATTGTGCTACTAAGTGACGATCCAGGTAAGTTGCAAGCTTTTCTGGATAGTTTGAGTGCTAGTGTTGCCATGTTCGGTATGCGTTTTGCACCTTCAAAGTGTAAAATGCTACTGCAAGATTGGGTTGATCCAGCACCCAGTCTCACCCTAACTGGGGAAGTTGTTGAGAAAGTAGACAAATATTGCTATCTAGGCAGCTATATCTCACCCGGTGGACGCATCATAGATGAAGTGTCGGCGCGTATACAAAAGGCTCGGTTGGCATTTGCCAACTTGAGACATTTGTGGCGCCGTCGCGACATCCGGCTGTCTGTGAAGGGTCGAGTGTATGCTGCAGCAGTTCGGCCAGTCCTGCTCTACGGTGCAGAGATTTGGCCACTAAAGGAACAGGATAAAAATAGATTGTCGGTGTTCGAACACCGCTATCTACGTAGCATTGCACGTGTCTGGTGGGGTAACCGGACTAGCAATGCTGAGGTTAGGCGTAGAGTTTTAGGCAGTCGCGGTCGTCCACTGGAGAAAGTGATCGACCTCCATAAATTACGTTGGTTGGGACATGTTTTACGCATGTCACCAGATAGGTTACCACTGCGAGCGATGTTCGCCGAAGCAGACACCGAGTGGAAAAAAGCCAAGAGTGGTCAAGCTAAGACCTGGAACGAGGCTGTGAAAACCCTAACCAGGAGACTAGGTCACATAGGTCCTGTTAGGTCCCCTGGCTGGGGACCTCGGGATGATGGTCACCGACGGTTAGAGACGCTGAGTGATATGGCTGGGTATCGCAAACAGTGGCGCTCGTGCATCCACATATTGTTGCCCATTCCATTTGAATTCTCCATGTTCCGCTTGAATTTGTTTTGAATATTCCCATCTTTATTCTGTACTCTTATCCAAATGGGGCACCAAAAGACAGCAACCAAAACCGGCGTACGAAAATGCATGGGTATTGATGTAAAAACTGAACTGAACTGAACTGAACGCTATAAGATTCCCTGGTAGTATGGCTCATCTAAGCTCCTACTACCGCTGAAATGATGGAGTCTCCATGGGGTCACCCTCAGAGCCTGTCCCTGTGGATATTTTCATCAAATCATATGAACTCACCAATATACAGCGCAATTGACAATCCGATAGCAGACCACAGTGAATATCTTCCACCGACCCACTGCAAAGAAAGAAATAGGAAAACTTTTGCATCTATGTTAGTTCCTTTTTTTCTTGAAGCGATTATTCAAATGGTGTATCACGCAGTGTAGGTCCTCAGCTACCTCATGTTTGTAAGACAATCACTCAGTTAGTAAAACGTTGAACAATACACACAACACTTGTCGCTAGGGAGTGATATTGGCGA